TGAGAGAGCACACGCAAGCGGGTTAAGTGGTAGACTCCGACGTGAGACAGGGTTACTTTCTCCTTGGCTGAGCTACTTGAGCAACCCTGTACCCTAAGACTGACACCTGAACATCTTATGGCGGAATATGTCCCAAAAATGAAGACTGACAAGATAGTGTGTACTGAGATCTTTCCTCTCTCGAGGAATGATCCCAGTACACGCGATCTTATCATTTTGCATAAACTTGTAATTAAAGTCAATCTAATCAATCAATTTTTAATCCGGGGTTATCGAATATTCCATGCATGCATTTGTTTAGGTTTGCATGTGTGTAATTTAGTAATTTGTGTGGTGCGACTAAGATTCGGCAAATGAGCTTCATATAAGGAACCTCATTCCACATATACTGTAGCTCCATAAAGAACGCCGCGGCGTATGCGCCGCCTGCTGTAAACAACGGCGATAAGAAGTAGCGTGCGACCCGGACGTTGGGGACCCTCCTTTCAGGCTTTAGAGCACCTTGGTATTGAGAAGCTTCCTTGAAACCGCTTAAAGACGTTGGAAACTATGAGCTAACCCGTATAGGGTATGCATGCCTACTTGGGGACAGGGTACAGCGTCATGATGTGTGAAATGATGGTGTAGGTACGACCCCCTCCCCGCCTAAGGGAGATTCTCGGTGCAACACCCCCTTTCCAGCACCTACCTACCAAGTCTCCCACATTTTCTAGTTTTTCACCCAAAGATTTTCCGTCGTGCTTTGAGGGAGGGAAGTACACATGAAACAGGAAAATCACGCAAAAAAGTCAACAACGAGGAAAAATTCCCTCCAACACAGCAATTTTCTTCTCTTGAAGGCACATACGATCCCCCTCTCCCAACGACCGAGTACACCCCCCTCCCCAGCGGAAAAGTACGACCCCTTGTGTGTTCCACACAACGATGCTGTACCTTGCTAGAGAATAACACCATGCCCCTGAGCAGGCGTAGCGCCTTTCTAACGAAGACTGTCCTCCGAGCGTTTCAGCAAGGCCTAGCACACCTCACCACAGCCAGAATACGCCCACAGGGGGCTACAGGTCAGCAATTGATCACGAGCGGACCAGCTGTTACCCTACAGCTCTCTACTGGTGTTTTTTTTTCTTTTTCCAGAGTTCCGTTCAAAAAATAGGCTCTATCAAGCGAAAATATCTTTATTCAGCTCAGTGAAGGATATTCTTGCAAGTTGTGAGGGGCCCCTCATCTTGTTGTGTGCTCCAAACATCCGTTATACAGTACCCCGTTACTACTTGGATCATTCAGCGTTTGTTTCTCTTTGCGGTAACAACTGCTTAAAATTCTGTTTGAGAGACTGATTTCTTTCAAAAAATAACAATTTATTTCAACTAGCACAGTTTTCCGTTTCGCGCGGGCGACGGCACCGCCGACGCTCGGCGCGGACTCCATCTAATGCCGTCTGCACCTCCGCGAACTTTTGTAGGGTAGCAAAATAGCATGCCGAAAAGTAAGTGTTAACGGATAAAGAGTAGGAATAAAGCTTAAGAAAACTAGTCGTGTACCGTCAGGGAAGGTCGCCACGCCCACAATCCATCTCGTAGGGTGCAAACTAGAATGAATGAAAAAAAATGAAACTGAAACAAAAGAATGAAACTAGAATAGACTACCCTGTATCAGGAAGTTGTAGGGTAGTGTTCTGCCCGAGAACTTTTCTTTTACGAGTTTCTGCTGGGTCCGCTAGCGTGGACAACGCTCCGCTCCTTTTCAGGTATGAATTTGCAGTAAGTATTACATTTGAAGAGGTTTTCCTTCAAAGGCGATCGTGGTGTGTGAGATTTGCATTGCTTCTAATAGCTAAAACCCAACGACCTACTACGACAAGCTGCTTTATTGCCAACAATGTTCATTTATGGTATTTGGTAACGCACAGTGATATGCTATATAAAATTGCATTCATATCAAATTCCAATAGTCAGTTTATTGATTTAAACATTTCACGTATAAGAAATTGAATCCATTGAAATGAACAACGCTTTTTCAAAGGCTAGAGATCGTATTAATATCATTCACATTGTGCTCTGGAGACATTCTTATTCAGAAGACATTTTTGTTGTATTCTTTCGTAAATCGCTCGAGGAATGGTTTCCATCTCGGGTCTAGTAGCTGATTTTCAACAAAGTAGTTGAGTAGGACTTGGTGGACGAACAAGTACTGCTGGTCAGTCTGGAATTGACACAATTTCCGCATATACCCGGTTTTGACTAGAAACAACTAACCTGGATAGTGTTGGCTCGCTGGGCTCTTATTCTAAGTAGTATTTTATCGGTGTCTTCAAAAGGACCTCCCAGAGAGATTGACTCGAGGATGTACTGGATAAGAACCATTGAGCCGGTCCTGCCAACGCCGGCGGAGCAGTGAACCACGATTGGTGCTCTATGAAGTGAGTGGATGAAGGAGCTTTCAAGGCTATGAAAGGAGGGATGGCTTACTGAGTGCCTTTGATGATCTCCAGAACTTGAACGATTGCCGTGTCGGCAGGTGGAACTCCGCGGTCAGGCCAGTCAATCCAGTGAAGGTGCCTTGTTCTCATTTTCTAAAATTTTTCAAAGTTGAATCAAATAGGAAAGTATTCTGTGGAGAACTGCCTCCTGTGAGGGCTACAGAAATAAATTTTAAGAACGGCTCAGCTGAAATAGACAGGAGATGAGCAAATATCTTATATGACTATTCCTGTGGGTTAACATGATGTAATTACCCTATGTTCCGGAGTAGAAGGCGCATTTACGGTGCTGTTCGTATGATGGGCCGTGTCAAGGGAGGGCGAGGTTGGCGTAGCGCCAGCCAATTTTTTC